TCGACAATCATTAGTACTATTGTCCCTAGTTATCGACAACCATTAGTTCTATTCTCTCCAGTTATCAATAACCATGATTACTAATGTCCCTAGTTATTTATGAACAACACTGCTATTGTCCCTAGTTATTAATGACTATGACTATTATTGTCCATAGTTATCAATAACAATAACTACTATTGTCTTTAGTTATCAATATCAATAACTACTATTGTCCCTAGTTATCAATAGCAATGACTACTATGGTCCCTAGTTATCAATAGCAATAACTACTATTGTCCCTAGTTATCGATAGCTATAACTACTATTGTCCCTAGTTATCAATAGCAATAACTACTATTGTCTTTATTTATCAATAGCAATAACTACTATTGTCCCTAGTTATCAATATCAATAACTACTATTGTCCCTAGTTATCAATAGCAATAACTACTATTGTCCCTAGTTATCAATGACCATGGCTACTATTGTCCCCAGTTATCAATATCTGTAATTACAATTTTGCCCAGTTATCAACAACTATAACTAACATTGTCCCTGTTTATCAATAATTATCGTCACTATTTCCTCTAGTTATCGACATTTATTAGTGCTATTGTCCCAAGTTATCAACATTTATTAGTGCAATTGTCCCTAGTTATTAACAGTTATCACTGCTATTATTTCTAGTTATCAATAACAATTAAAAATAGTCTAATCGACTTTTTTTTTTTAATTTTTAAGGTCTGACTCATTTTTGTTGAAAAAAAATTTTTGGTGCCCGATTTTAAGGTCCTTGTCCGATGTTGAAAAACAAAAATAGAAACACGTCGCGTGGTTATCTTGGTTCGTCTCGGAATTACTCCCTCGCTTCTATTTTGCGTTGACCGATTCTATTTATAAAAACGAAATATCTCTGGAGAATGACTGATCATTCTTGTTTTTTTTTTTTTTTCATTTCTTTTTCTTCTTTTTTTTTTTATTTTCTTCTTTAGCTTTACTCTATTTTTTAACGTTAAAAATTGCTAAAAAAAAAAGAAAAGAAGATTTTCTTTTTTTTGGGAAAAATAAAAAAACCAGGAAATTTTGTTTATCATTTTATAATGATTGGAATAATGATAAGACAATGATGCTGGGTACTTTTCCGTCAACAATCCAAGAAATCAATGAGTTTAATCATTGTTTTCAACGACTTATGCACCATACGTACAAATACATATATATATATATATATTTTTTTTTTTTTACGCTCTATACGATCATCCATATAATCGTTCAGTCAATATTGACAGATGTCACTCAATATAATTGTACAATGAATTTTATTGTTGACATAATTAAATTTTGAATTAAGTTTTATATTAATTTAAAAAAAATAAGAATTATTTAAAAAAAAATTACAAGTTGTAAATTTTATTATAAAAAAAAAAAAAAAAAAAAATTTAATTTTTTTCAGAGCAGGTGCCTTTTGGCGAGATTCTGCGCTCTATACAAAATGGTAAACAAAAGTTGCTTGGCTACCCGCCCATAACGGGTTTTTCTTCCAGAGAACTGACCTAACTTGTAATTAAAAAAAAAAAAATGATAAACGAAAACTAAAAATCGTTCAATTTACAAGTTAAAAAATAATTTTTTTTAACCAAATATTTTATAACGTAAATTCATTTTAAATATTTAAAAAAAAACAAAATTTTTGAACCAAATTTTTCGAGTTTTATCTACTTAGCTGAATAATATTAATTATAATTATTAAAAAATTAGTAATAAATTTTGGATAAATTAAAAATTTTTTTTTCTCACTATAAATTTTTGTTAATTTCAAAAAAAAAATTTTTAATATTTTTACTAAAAAAAAAAAAAAAAAAAAAATTCTTCTCTCCTTTTTTTTTTAAACAAAATTTATTTATCTAAAGTGGATCTGCGCTCAAGAATATTACGTCGGAGCATTTCAATGTCAGAGAGAGAGAGAGAGAGAAAGATGTGAAGGAAGATTGAGAAAAGGATGCTGCACACACAAGTTTGCCCTCGAAGGTCTCAATAATGCGATTTATTCCAAGAAACGTGATTTTTATCGGTACCAAGTCGAGACATTTATTAGCATAATTTTTAAACGTACACTTATATATACGTAAACCCCCACAAGAGAGAAATATTCAATATATACAGAATTTTAAATATTCAAATATGTTACGTACTTTACATGAAAAAAGGACGAAATCTTTTTTTTTTGTATTTTCAAAAGGTCATAAAAAAACAATTTTTAAAAATTTAAATAAAAAAAAATTTTAATTACAAATTTTTTAAATTACGTTTTATTTTAGTTTCGATTTTTTCACTTATTTTATTTATTTTTTTGTAATTTTTTATTTTTAAATATTTTTATTCTAATTATTTAAAAAATTTTTTTTTAAAATTGTTTATATTTTTCCGTTTATAAATAATATAAATAAAGAAATTTGTAATTTTTTTATTAATTATAAAAAAAAAATTTCAAATAGCAATTAATTTGTGTGTAAATTTTTTTATTAAAAAAAAAAACACGTCAAGTAGATGTATTTCTCTTGTCAGAAAAAAAAAATTTTTTTTACTTTCTTTTTCATGTCGCGTGAGAGCCAAAAAAGATTATAAACGCTATTTTCAGCGAATTTCAAATGGAATTGTGGAGACGCGCGTAACGATGTTCGGAACTTCAAAAGGAGAAAGAAAAAGAAAACAAAAAAAAAAAAAAAGGGAAAACCCTCGTAGACCGTCTACGAGAACAAGGATAAAAAGGAAACTCCAAAAAGGAAGTTTCCAAGTTTAACAAAAAAGTAAAAAAAAAACTACAAACATAGCCAGACTTACAGCTGTAAAAGCATCCGGAGAAAATATTTTTTCTTGATTTTAAATAATTTTTTTTCCATTAATAGTTTCACGTCAAAGAAAAAAAATTAAAAGAAAAAATTTAATTAATTACAAAAATATAAATAATTATAAAAAATAATTTTATTAATAATAAATAAATAAAATTTATTTTTACTATTTATTATTATTATAGTTACTATTATTATTATTATTATTATTATTTTATTGTTATTATTATCGTGAATAAATTATACTTATTGGAAAAAAAACCAAATATTGAATGAATCAAGAAAAAAAAATCTCTCTCTCTCAGTAAATATTATAACTACATTGCGTCACATTCGTTTTCCTATTCAAATTTAAAATGAAATTGAATTAGTTGAAAGAATGATATTTAAATACCGACTTTTTCCTCATATATATATATATATGTTACGAATAAAAGAACACGAATATTTTTACAAAACAAAAAAGGAAATTTACAAAAAAAAAAAAAAAAATTCTCTCTTTTCGAAAATTGTTACTATAAATTTATTAAATTAAAATTTATATTTTACTTAATTTAAATTTAAAAATTGATACTGAATAATAAAAAATAAATAAATAATAACTTAATAAATGAAATAATTGAATTAAGAATGAAAAAAATAATAAATAAAATAATAGTTTAAAAAAATATATATAAATAATAAAATAAAATAATGAAATATATAAAAATAAAATATATATACGAATAAAAATATATATATAAAATAATAGTAATAATAATAATAATAATAAAAACAATCATAAATAAAAATAAAATAATTTGAAAATAATTTAAAAACAATTAAAAAATAATAAAAAAAATAACTAAGTTAATAATAATTAAATAATATAATAAAAAATAGTAACAAAATAATTAAAAAATAATATAACAAAATTAATATTAATAATAATAATATTGAAAAAATAAATAAATAAAAAAAATAGTAATCTTTTAAATAAACTATTTTTACTTGTTTTCGCGTACTTCATTCGTAAAGAAAAATAAATAAAAATATCATACTTTCATACTAAGCCAAACGATAGGTAACTTTGATTTAAAAAAAAAATAAAAAAAAATAATTAAAATTATCTTATTCTTAAAACTAATATTCTTCAGTAGTATAATGGTCAGTATTCCCATTTTTATCACGAAAAAAAAAATTCTTAAAACTAATAATCTTCAGTAGTATAATGGTCAGTATTCCCTTTTTTTAGCAGAAAAAAAAATCATAATCCTAATAATCTTCAGTAGTATAATGTTCACTATTCCCATTTTCCAGCAAAAAAAAAATATTATTCTTAAAAATAATAATCTTCAGTAATATAGTGATCAGTACTCCCATATTATTCAGGAGAAAAAAAATAATCTTTATAACCTCCAAATAATAATCTTCGGCAGTATATATATATATATATTTTATAGTGGCCAGTAAACCCTGATTTTCAGCTGTTGTCGATAACCGCACAAAAGAAATATAGAATGACGAGGGCTGGGCTGAGGGGGGGAGGAGGAGAAAAAATAAATCAAGAAACTGGATCTCAAAGAGTGGTATGGAAAAAGTTAAAAAATCCCGAACAGGTCCTTGAAGTAAGAAAGATGCAAAGAGAAAGAAAGAGAAAGAAACACTCTATACATATATATATATATACACTATATATGTGAAAAACAGTCGAAGAACGAATCGAGAAACTTGCCCTAACCAAAAGTGACACAAAACAAGATCTCTGCAACACCATTTGATTCCTAATCCTTTCATATATAGAAAAACATTTTCATATAATAAACACCGTCATTGATTAACAAAACTCTCCAATTTAAAAAGGTTAGGTTTCAATTTTTTTTTTTTAACAGCGCACATAAAATGCTATAACAAAAAATTCCTCAACACACATATACACACATATTCCACTGTATAGTATGAGAAGAAGAAAAAAATCGCACTTCACTGCACAGTTAATAAAAATAACTTTTAAAACACAGACAATCGAAAAAAAGAAATCAAATATCGTTATGGAAAAAAAAACAGCACTAGATAAATGATAATTTGTGAACGAGAAAAAAAACCTTTTTTTTAGAAATCCATTTTTTGGTTTTTTTTTTGTTTTTTTGTGGTAATAGAGAAGGTCAGAGGGGGGGGGGGGCTACTCACCGTTGAAAATATTCACAAGAAACACAATTAGCCCAATCCACAGGCCGTATTTACAACCCGGGTAAGCGTATAGCGTAGCCATTTTCTACACTTGGGAGCACATACTTCACTGCGTGTGTGACGTGATATTATAATATAATATAGTAAAAGTAAGAGAGAGAAAATTCACGAGAGGAGAGACCAGACGATGGCGTCGAGCCACCAAGGCGCAAGGCACTGCCGCAACCAACATGAACATCGGCCACTTTCGGTTCTGATGTTCGGACTGTATATATAATATAGAATCAGAATGAAGAGTGGAGGAGGTAAAGTCTTTGGTCTTGGACTCAGCTATACAACCTATACCACTACCACATCTTTCTCTCTATATATATATATATATATATATATTGAATATTGTTGTCTGTGTGATATTAAATGCAGAATGACGAGAGAGAATCGCGCGCGCGCAGAGGGGATGAAAAAGTCAGGGACGTTCAATGAATTTTTGTCTCCCCTTTTCTATATAATAATAATAATAATAATAATAATAATAATAATAATAATAATATCTTACCTTGGATACCAAGGGTTATGCAGATTTTCCACTTTCTTCTTAAAATAAATAATAACAATAATAATATCAGAAACATAACCTCAAATTTGTTACATTTATTATAAACATCTAGAGACTTAGATATATTTACAAATCGAAAATATGTCGTAAAATGTTATTTATATAAGAGAAAATTGAAAATTTTTTTAAAACATAACCTCAAAAATATACTACTACTAGTATTGTTACTACTAGTATTGTTACTACTACTATTGTTACCACTACTATTGTTACTACTATTTTTACTATTATTGTTACTACTACTATTGTTACTACTATTTTTATTATTATTGTTACTACTACTATTGTTACTACTACTATTGTTACTACTACTATTGTTACTACTATTTTTACTATTATTGTTACTACTACTATTGTTACAACTACTAGTATTGTTACTACTACTATTGTTACTACTACTTTTACTATTATTGTTACTACTACTATTGTTACTACTATTTTTACTATTATTGTTACTACTACTATTATTACTACTACTAGTATTGTTACTACTACTATTGTTACTACTACTATTGTTACTATTTTATTGTTACTACTACTAATGTTACTATTACTATTATTGTTACTACTACTATTGTTACTATTACTATTGTTACTACTACTATTGTTACTACTATTATTATTTTATTATTGTTACTTCTACTATTGTTACTACTACTATTGTTACTACTACTATTGTTACTACTACTATTGTTACTACTACTATTGTTACTACTATTATTATTTTATTATTGTTACTACTACTATTGTTACTACTACTATTGTTACTACTACTATTGTTACTACTACTATTGTTACTACTACTAATGTTACTATTACTATTATTGTTACTACTACTATTGTTACTATTACTATTGTTACTACTACTATTGTTACTACTATTATTATTATATTATTGTTACTTCTACTATTGTTACTACTATTATTGTTACTACTACTATTGTTACTACTATTATTATTTTATTATTGTTACTACTACTATTGTTACTACTACTATTGTTACTATTACTATTGTTAATATTACTATTGTTACTACTACTATTGTTACTACTATTTTTACTATTATTGTTACTACTACTATTGTTACTACTACTACTATTGTTACTACTATTATTATTTTATTATTGTTACTACTACTATTGTTACTACTACTTATGTTACTATTACTATTATTGTTACTACTACTATTGTTACTATTTTATTGTTACTACTACTAATGTTACTACTATCTTTATTATTATTGTTACTACTACTATTGTTACTACTATTTTTACTATTATTGTTACTACTATTATTATTTTATTATTGTTACTACTACTATTGTTACTACTATTGTTACTACTACTGTTACTATTAGTGTTATTATTATGTTACTATTGTTACTAATATTTTTACTATTATTGTTACCATTATTATTTTACGATTGTTACTAATATTGTTATTGTTGTTACTTTTATTATTATTATTATTATTATTTTTATTATTCTTGTTATTATTATTGCTAGTATTATAACATATATATGTATATATATATAGATTGAGGATCATATACGATCCTGAGACGGAGGCGTCAGCGATGGCGGGAGAGTGCAACGGCGCCCAGTGGGCGCCAGAGTGCCGAGACTTAGTGCCTTAACCAAAGATCTTTTTCTTTCTTTCCTCCTTTAGCCAAGCGACTTACTCCCTCTGCCACGTTAAGTCCCAATATCCTTTCTCTCGCTTCTATTTGCTGCTACTCGGGTTGTTCGGTCGGGCCTTCTTTTCATATAGTATACAATATATATATATAGTACCAGCCAAATCCCATGCGTGTACACGCATATATACATATAAGCAGAACGTGTCCGTGTTCCTCTTTTTGAATGATGAAAAACTGGAAATCCACCTGGTACCATAAAAATCTTAAAATCTCATCATTCTATATGTTCATTTGCGATTTATATGGATTTTCTGATTCACGTCGCTAAAAAAAAAAAACTAGTTAGATAGTTACTGTCTTGTCATATTATAATATTGTAAATGATTTAATTACACTGCAAAAAGAAGTATCTTATTTTAAGATGTTTTGGTAGCGTTTTCAAGACATTAAGACATCTTAAACATCTGAATGTCTTAAAAACGCTACCAAAACATCTTAAAATAAGATACATCTTTTTGCAGTGTAGTTGAGATTATCAGTATAAGTATTATTAATTAAACAATGTCTCAACAAAAAATCAAAAATTATTATTATTATTATTATTGAAACGGTTACTATTGTCCCTATTCATCAACAACTATTATTACTATTGTTTCTATTTTTCAACAACTATTGAAACAATATTGTCCCTAGATATCAACAAAAACTACTATTGTTTCTATTTATCAACATCTATTAAAACTATTGTCCCTAATTATCAACATCCATTAAAACTATTGTCCCTAATTATCAACATCCATTAAAACTATTGTCCCTAATTATCAACATCTATTAAAACTATTGTCCCTAATTATCAACAAATTCTGTTACTATTATCCCTAGTTATCAAAATCTTTGACTACTATTGTCACTATCTATTAGTTAACAGTACTGATATTGTACCTATAGTTATAAATAACAATGACTGCTTTTGTCCCTATTTATGAACAACTACTAAATACTATATAGTAGTCCCAACTTATCAACTAGTATAGAACGATTGTTCATATTTATCAATAACCTAGTAGTACTATCGAGTATTGAAATTTCTATAACTGATACTTATCCCTATGTTATAACAATCAACTCTCTAAATTTGAATTAGTAAAAATTTTAACTAATTTGAATTAGTGACTCACTTTTTGCTATTGAATTAGTAAAATTTTACTAATTATTAGTAACTTTGACTAATAATTAGTGAAATTTAACTAATTCAATAGCAAAAAGTGAGTCACTAATTCAAATTAGTAAAAAATTTTCACTAATTCAGATTTAGAAAGAATGAGTGCTATTATTGTCCCTATTTAGTAACTACTATATTAAAACTATCGTCCTTGTTTTTTGTTTTAATAACTTTCTGATGAAAGCTTAAAATTTAACTAAAACCGCAAAAGATCCTAATAATAAGATACATCTTTCTTTTTTTTTGTAAATTTAAAATGTAGATATTAGTTGGAAAAAAAAAAAATTTGTGTAACTAATTACGAAGAATATATAGGAGTGAAATTGAAAAATACTAAGAGAGAGAGAGAGAGAGAGACAGAGTGGGGGGGGGCGAAAAAAAACAAAACAAATGGGCGCTCCTTTGTGGAGTCTGCATTTGAATGCATATGGAGAGTCTCATGAATGTCGAGTGCAAGCCTGCACACGTGTGACGCTCTCTCTACCGGAACTAATAATTTACCCGAGAGCATTAAACGCCCCTCGATTGCAATGCACTGGTATGCGAACAGATACTACACGTGGAACCGTGTATTATATATATATATATATATATATATATATATATATATATTGAATGCAAAAGAGCAGAACAGATCATTTAAACGGTTAAACATACTCCTACGTTGATTAATTACTATATAACTTTTTCTATATATACGCAATGAAAATTTAACACCACTGAAACTAAACCTTCCATTATAGCAAAAATTACAATTTAGAATATTTGCAAAATTTAAAAGCTGTTTTAAAACTAATTCAAAATTACACTGAAAAAAATTTATCCGAAATCTTCAACTACCTTTGGGTAGTTAAGTGAAAAGAAGTTAAAACAATTATTTTCTTAGTTAGTTTAACAATGTTTGTGTAGTTAATTTCACTATTTCTTAAGTATAGTTAAAAATTAGTAGTACAATTAACTTAAAAATGTAGTTAGAATTTAAAACTAACTACAAAATCTTATTGTATCAACTACATTCTTAGTTATTTTAACTACTTTTTAGTAGTTAATACAACTTTTAAAATTGAGTTGAGGACCTATTGTACTATACAGGGTAGTTAAAAAGTAGTCAAATCTACTGGTTATTTTTTTGAGTGTAGTTCAAAACTTCCCCCCCCCAAAAAAAAACCTTAAACTATATATGAAAAAATAAGTAACAATATTTAAATAAAAAAAAAAATTCAATATATCTTCAAACTAGTTAAAAATTGTTTTTTTTTAATATTCTAAACTGCATTGAAAAAAATGTTGCCGAGAAATTCAACTACGTATCATATTGGGTACTTGACTAGAAAGTAGTTAAAATAACTACTTTTTTAGTTAATCTAATCATATTCATGTACACAGAAAATTAAAAGGCATTAAAATAAGTTAATAAGTAATAGTTGATTTTACGTATAAATATGTAGTTAAAGTACAACTACAGGTCGGTAGTAAAATTAACTTTCTTAAGGTATAGTATAAAAACAAGTGAAATTGTATAGTCAACTTAAAATTTGAAGTGTATAGTAAATACAACTACTATTTACCATAGTTATATGAAATTTAGTAAAAGGAATTATTTTCTTTAATTAATATTACTGCTTTTTGAGTAGTAAATTTTTTTTTACTAATTTCTATGCTTTTATAGGATTCAATAAAATTCTTGTTGTAGAATTAACAAAAGTCGTCTGTAATTAAAACTACTATTTTAAGTAGTAGATTTTTACTATTTTAATTAATTCGATAAACTTAAAGGAGATTTTT